AACTGTCGACCGGAAGAGAAATTTGGGAATTAGGGTTTGGGTTATCGCAAATAAGCAAGGGGAATGTGGCGTAATGTGGGTAATTTAGTACATTATATAATTATATTTTTATTTATTCCTCCAGCCGTGGGATTTAAGTTTAAATGTAACCAAATATTAAAGACGGTTATATATATTAGTAATCGAACAATATTGAATATTCCACTCGCTTGATTAGGGCGTGCTTAAGAACTTTAATTATGTTTTAGTAAGTATTTTATAAAAATTTGAACTTCATTTCATTAATTACATCCAGAAATATACTGATAAAAAATATATTACAAAATATAAACAATCAAAATATATATGATTTCCTATAAAGTATTTTCTTTATATATACAGATAAAATAAATAAATGAATATAATTGATTTATTGTATATATTCAACGAATTATTATAAATTTGTGGTTTAAATATATATACAATATTAAAACTAATGGTTTAATAAAATCAACAATTTTTTAATAAATTATAAAACAGATAATCGTCGTATTTTGGCTATATATTTTGAATTAAAATCATAGGAATAACACTTTTTCCTTTTATGCTTATTGCGGGGAATTTTTTAGTTTAAAAAATGTGTAATTTCCAAATGATTTATTTTATGAACTATGCATCCGATGTTACTAGGATTCTTTGAATAGAGTCGTTATTGACTCACGTACTTATTATTTCAATAAATAAAACAAATGAATTATTGAATCACATAAATAAACCAAATGTTGCAAAGATGTTATTTTCAAAAGATATAATGCAAATGATTCACATAATTACTGACTCTGTTGATAATTCAAACTTAAACAAAAACATCTCAATTTCATTTTAAATATAGAATATTGTCTATAATGCAAAATTATATCTAGAAAGTATATATATACATATGAGCCTTCTTTAACAGGATAAGAGTTCAGACAATCTGTTATTGACAAATGTTAAACACAACTTAGTATAATTATATTAAAACATCTAAAAGATTCTCACCATTTTTTTTCCTTTTCTTCAATTCTAAAAGGAGATTTAATTATTGGATAATATTAAAATAAGAAATAAAAAAGAATGAAATAAAATGTAAGAGACGTGATAAAGAGACGTAACAATACCAAACTTTGTTCCTTAAAGCAAACAATATTAGGGGAATTAGCATATTCCCCCACTTACGTAGGGAACGATACAATAAACAAAATTCACAAAGGAACGAGCTTGCAATAATAATAATAATAATAATAATAATAATAATAATAGAGTTAATTCCAAAAAAAATCCTCAAATTGTCAAGAAAACTAATCCCCCCATTTGTGGTTTTCCGTTATAAAAATCTATATATATATAAATAAAGAGGTTTAAAGGATTGTGGTGAAGACACATCATCATCCACATAATTATCTATGTGGCATTTATTTTTAATTTTTATTTGTCATTTAAATATTTATTAGCTATATATAAATTGATTATACCACCACTAATTTTTACACATAAATAATATATGACAGTTATAAATAAATTCATTAGTTATAAACATATGAAAGATAATTTCTAAAATATATTTAGCTCACTATATAAAAATTTATTTTATTATACATAAACTTCTATTTTAACATTAAGATTTTTATTTAATAATAGATTATTATCTTGATGGTTCTATATTGATTAACAATAACAAAATCATATATATACATAAAATTAATAAGTTAATTGATATAAACAAAATGTCAAGCACAAAATATTGTAAATAACAAAAATTAAAAAGATATTTATTATATAACAAAGAAATAGAAAACGTATTGTCATATCTATATCTATGGTACACGGTTGTCATATTCCTATTGAGTAAATTGGAGTAAATGAAAAATTTAATAATATTTAATATCGTTTAAGAAAAAGGAAACTAAAAAAAACGTATCATGACTAATTTGTCATTTTTGGGCGGTATATTTATGGGTTATATATATGGTCATTTTCATGCATGTATTAGTCGACTATGCGAAGACCATGGATCTCAATTGTTTGTTCACGACACTGCTGAAGATAACGATGGAGAAGTCCATCGGGAGAGGAGAAGGACGCCTGCCACGACAGAAGCACGATTCCTATTAGGGTTCACACAATCGTCGAACTCCATAGACTGCAGACCAAGAAACCGGTTCGGAACGCTCCATTGAACGGTACCTCCGACGTCAGAAGTGGGCCATCCACCCCGGTCTCCGAGGAGGCCATGATCCAATCCGTCAGGTAACATCATCAGCATCATCATATACACACATATATATATATGTATGTGTATATGTATTGGTGGATCCATCTGCATGCATGCAGTGCATCGCTGGCGTCGATGACAAGGGGAAGCAGAGATGTTAAAATGGATCGGGTTATACGGGTCGACTCAATCCGACCCACTTATAAACCCAAATGGGTTAGTCCATTTGACTAATTTTTTAAAATGGGTTAAATGGATTTTGACCCATTAAATCCATGGGTTAAAATTAAATGGTTAATCCGTTAAACCCATTATGTATTTAGTTAAAATTAACTAATTTTGTAACTAATTAAAATTGTTATATTTAGATATATAAAAATTAATATATATATATATATATATATATATATATATGAATTAAATCGAAATATTTGGTCTCATTTTCGAATCAAATCGTACCGAAAATTTCGGTTTTGTTTTCGAATCGAAGTGTATCGAAAAATTCGAATCGTGTCAAAAAATTCGATATTGCTCTGAATCGAACCGAAAAAATTGGTTTTGTTTCTCAATCGAATCGTATCGAAAAAATCGGTGGCATTTCTGAATCAAATCGTGCCGAAAAATTCGAATCATATAAAAAACTCGGTACCGTTCTGAATCAAATCGTACCAAAAAACTCGGTGTCGTTTTCGCATCGAATCGTGCCGAAAAATTCGAATCGCATAAAAAACTCGGTACCGTTCTGAATCGAATCGTACCGAAAAACTCGGTGTCGTTTTTGCATCGAATCGTGCCGAAAAATTCGAATCATAGAAAAAACTCGGTATCGTTCTGAATCGAATCGTACCGAAAAACTTGATGTCATTTTCGCATCGAATCGTGCTGAAAAATTCGAATTATATAAAATACTCGGTACCGTTCTGAATCGAATCGTACCGAAAAACTCGATGTCGTTTTCGAATCGAATCATGCCGAAAAATTCGAATCGTATAAAAAATTCGATACTGTTCTGAATCGAGTCGTATCGAAAAATTCGAATCATATCGAAAAACTCGACACCATTTCTGGATCGAATCGTATTGAAAAAATCAGTGTCGTTTTCGAAACGAACCGTTCAAAAAATCTAAACGACAATATTTTTAAAACATCGAATCGAATTTAAAAAATAAAAAAAGTATGATTTTTTTTAAAGAAATGTATAATTTTTTTATAAACTATCGAGTTTTGTATATATTTTTATTGAATCGATAAATCGAATCGAATATTAAAATAATAATTATTAGGTTATATGAGTATACATATTAATAGTTATACATATGTATATAAATGGGTTTATATGGTTTATACGGGTTTAACGTGTCGACCCAACCCAACCCATTATTATTAACGGGTCGACCCAACCCAACCCGTTTATCCTTCAAATCCAATTGGATTGGGTCCAAATGGGTTAGGCCAACCCAATTGACATCACTAGGGGGAAGGGGCCGATTGAGGTGAAGGGAGATCCGGCGAGGGTATCTGAGTCGGCGGTGAAGATGACGTCTGTGTCGGCGCCGACAATATAGCAGTGAGCGACAGTGCGTTGAAAATCATGCATGTGCTATATAACCTATTACCGGGAGAGGCATATGAACAGAGCATAAATAACGCGAAAGGATCAACTAATGCTTATATTAAATTCATCACATCAACTAATGCTTACGTTATCCGGAGCCAAAACCGGTCGCTTCCCTAAGGATAAGCGTGTCGTTAAAGGTGCCACCACCGCCTCTGAGCTTTAGTGGGAGAAAGTTAACTCCTTTTCTCTATCTCCTATCAGTCTCTTTTTCATTATCATCTTCTGAGTATGTATGCATATATTGTCATATGATATATTTATATGTATATGTTATAACAGTTTGAATTGTGAATCATTGTAGTTATTCTCGAGATTGTTTCGGATTGTTTTTCTTCAGGTGGATGCTTTTGGAAGGGTTCCTTTTTCAGAAAGTGCTAAAGATTTGGTTACAAACATGTTGACCAAAGAAAACTAGAAGAAAACTGTAAATGGATTGGAAAATGATACAAAGGGTACTAAGTCCCGTATTCCTCTTAATATCTACATACAAAGTCTGGTAGAAAATATTTATATACAATGTAGAGGTTATGTTGCTACGGTTATTAGGATGAGAGAAAAGGAATTTGGGATAAGCTACAAACATCAAAATGTAAAATAAGAAAGTGGAGCTGTTAGAAATCTTGAATTGTGCCTGATGTGTATATTCTCTTTCTTGATATATTTAAATGTGATTTAGTATCAATATATGTTTAATGTGTTACTAATCTTGAATATATAATATTGGTTAAACAGATAACAAAAAGAGATGGACGAATATATTAACATGACTTCGCAAAAGGATAGAGATCGAAAAAAAGTTCCTTTGGATGAACGAAATCTGACGTCAGAAGAAAGATTTGCGTTGAGCCTTCAGACAAAATATTATCCACACGTTTTTATCCGGATGTTACACGGGAAAAGCCGGTGTCCATGCGAATTCGAATGTGTTTTGGAACGATGTGATTCTATTTCATAGATTCAGATGGATAATAATTTTTGTTTTAGGGTTTTTATTTTTTTCTATTTTTAAAATTTTCATATTTCGTAATTATTGATCCCGTTTTCTTTTGTTACATGGATTGATAGTTTAATTTTAGATACCATGATGGCATGATCTACAAGTCATTATAAGCCAACCTCCAAAATACTCGGGATGATAATCCGTTAATGGAAGATTTGTTTTCATCACTAAGGAGTTATAATTATTTGATGTTATTGGTTTTTTTCGATAATCCTTTTGTTTTCACACGAGTATTGTTGTGATTATCCAAGAAGATGGAATATTTGTAAGCATATATATTTTTTATTTATTTTTTACTTTTCATTTTATATGTGTGTTTGTATTTGTATAAGTGTATATACAAATATTATAAATATATACACGTATATATACATGATTGATTATATGGATGTATATAAGTTTATACATGTACATATACATGTAAATATATGTGCACATATATATATAAATATAAATGTTTATAGATGTATTTGTGTGTGTATATATGTACATATATTCATATATATGTATTTGTTTATACATGTATGTCTATGTATATGTTGTATGTATATATGTTTGATTTATATGTAGATATATGTACAGAAATACAACTAATTAAAAACAAATAGTTTTGATTTCATATTCTAATTGATTTTTTATGTATGTATTTTTTATATTTTATTTTAAAATTTTAATTTATGTATATGCATGTATATACACATATATAGATGTATTTATGTGTATATATATGTATAAATATCTTTGTGTGTGTATATATATATATGTATATATGTGTGTATGAATGTATTTATTTTTTATGTATGTATTTTTTATATATTATTTTAAAATTTTAATTTATGTATATGCATGTATATAGACATATATAGATGCATTTATGTGTATATATATGTATAAATGTATTTGTGTATATATATATCTATGTATATATGTGTGTATGAATGTATTTGTATATGTGTATATATATACATGATTATGCATATGTATGTATATATGGGTACATATACATGTAAATATATATGTTTATATAGATGTATTTGTGTGTTTGTATATATATGTATGTCTATATATATATATTTGTATGTGTGTTTGTATACATATTTATTTGGATTTATATGTATAAAAACATTATTACTTAAAAATGAATAGTAATCTCATTTATCTTTAAAATTTATATATATATATATTTTTTTTTATTTTTATAAGAACGATCTATCATACTTAATCTCTAAATCAATAAAAATAATGATTTTAAAATCAAGAGAAATATTAAATCAAAGTAAATTATTTTGATACAAGATAAAACATGATGTTAAAATACACACGATCAATATTAATTTAGAAATTGATAAGAAAACTAAATATATATGTATATATATATGTATATATATATATATATGCATGTATCTATAACGATGTATTTGTATGTATATATATGTTTATAATGTACATATAGATTTTATTTTTTATTTTTTAGGAATAGATTTATATATATCATTTTTATATTTTGGATAAATGGCCAAAAAAACTCTATACTTTTATTTTGTCTCAATTTAAACTCTACACTTATTTTTTATCCTAAAAAACTCTATACTTTTAGATTATCTCCAAAAAACTATGTACTTTGTATATTATAGAAATTTAAACCATGTAATTATTTTTTATCTTAAAAACCATGTATTTTTAGAATATCTCAAAAAAAACCTATACTCTGCATATTATGACAATTTAGACCTTATTATTTATTTTTTATCTTAAAATATTTAATACAACTGTAAAAGTTTGGGATCACAGTTCCGAATTTGAGTAAAATACAAAAATATATTATATTATTGGTTTTTGTCCATGTGCATATCCTGTTCACAGGAATCCAGATATGAGTGTCATATTATTTTCATCCATACATGCAAATAACAAGAATTTTATGGAGATAATTTAATTGTACATGGTTTTGCAGGACAAAAAATGACTATAAGATTTCAATTGGCATAATGTGAAAAGTATAAAAGTTTTGGGAGATAATCTGATTGTACATGAATTTTTAAGATAAAAATAAATAAATATAAAGTTTAAATTGTCATAATATGCAAAGTATAAGGTTTTTTTTGGAGATCTAAAAGTACAGAGTTTTTTAGGATAAAAAATAAATATAGGGTTTAAATTACCATAATATGCAAAATATATGATCTTTTTGGAAATAGTCTAAAAGTACATAGTTTTTTAGGATAAAAAATAAGTACAAGGTTTAAATTGAGACAAAATGAAAATATATTTTTTTTTTGCCATTTACCCTTATATTTTTAAATTGAGGTTTTCTATGGACAACGATAGTATGCATGGGCAGACCTAAGTTTATAAGAGTGGAGGCATATGCCCCTAGATGTTTGGTTAAAAAATAATAATTTATTTGTAAAGTTTATAGGGTTTTAACTAAAATAATTAGGTGTCCCCATGATGAATTGTTTTTATCATATAATAAAATTAAATTTGCTCCCATTTATAATATTTTCTAGGTCCATTACTGATAGTATGTTATTTTTTAAATATAACAATGATATGTAATCGAATCCGTTAAATAATTAACATTGTTGGAATGAATGTAGTTTTAATGTCATACCCAAATACACTCAAATCTAAGTGAAATGTGGATTTTAATCCATTCAAAAAATAATTAGTGAGTTGCTTTCTTAACGGGAGTAGAGTCAACTTAGAGGTCACAAGTGAAACCCCCACGCAGGCCCCTAATTTGTGAGGACTCAATTTTAAAATATATTTATTTTTAGTTTAATAATTATTAAGATTTCATTAAAAGAAATATGTTATAAATTTAAAACTAAAAGATTAATCTAATAACAAAACTAAAAATATTAAATTTGATTAAATATGTTTACCATCATTGCTATTGTTATCGATAAAAAATTTCATATTAAATATATAAATTTAATTATTCTAAAACATTATAATATTTAATAATATTATTTTTACTATTACCTTATAATTAAATTAATTTTTTTACAGAGATAAAATAAATTAAAAAAATAAGAAAACACATATCATTAATATCGATTTCATATTTTGTACAATGATAATCATATTTTGGTACTCCGATCCTCTTTAATATATTATTTTCATAATTTAATCTTAGAAATATATATTTTCTAAATCAAATAAATATGCATAATATTTATATTAAATTCATATCAAATAAATGGTATAATAAAGATTATAATAAGACCTGCGCGTTGATACGGCGGAACACGTGTACTGCTACATCATAATATTATGCCATACCACCAAAATTATTTTAATTTTTGGATCGGCTTGGTCGATATTTAACCAGATTAGACCAATTTATTAATTTATTTTTGATTTAAATAATTCCTTTTTTCTTAACCTATTTTCCCTTCTATGCAATTACAGAGATCCTATTTTCCCCATTTTCATCCCTGAAAACCCTAATCTCTCTCAATTCTTATCATTTGTCTCTTGTATTCTTCACCATCATCATCATGTCGATTTCTAGGTTTTTGCAATCTTGATGAAAAATAAAGTGGGATTCCTCACCACTTCAAAGAGGAAGGATATAAAAAAGAAGGATATGAATGCTCTCTATCTATTATTTACGTTCCACAAATTTTGGAGTTCTTGTAAGCTTTCCATTTGATCACTAAACACCTATTAAAGGTGGTAAAAACTCTTGTTGTTCAAGTTTTTCAAGTTTAATATAGTTATAATCTTTAACAAAAAAAAAAGATATAAAAAGAAGTCCAACAAGATTTTACCGATTTTGAAGGATACATTGAACACAAGTTTAAAAAATCGATAGAGAGAAATATAGGATTTAGGGATTTTTAGTTTTCTAAAACGTTCGAGAGAGTGAAAAGATAAAAAAGGAAAAAAAAAATTTAACATTATTTTGATTAAAATAAATTATTGAACCGATCTGGTTCGGTTAAACTTGTCTAAAATTAAACTAAATTTGGTGATATTGCATAACATTATGAAGTGGGAGTATATGTGTCCCACCATATCAACAATGTTTAACGTTGTTTGTTGTCAAGGTTGATCAATATTTTTAATTACGGTGTTTATTAATGGGAATATATATTTTATATCCTATATTAGGATGTAGTTATTATACGCGATTGTATTTTCCTAATTCCTAGCTAGGGTTAGTTTCTCTAATGCTGTATATAACCATGCGTTTATGCTTAATGAAAGGCAAACCACTTTATCAGAATTCTTCAACTCGGTTTGTGTCATGGTATCAGAGCCATCGACAATGAACGGACGCGACATTGTAATTTTCTGACGAAATATCCACCAAAAACACTCCTCCCGAATCAAACACGACATCTCCTCCGACCAATGAACCGATCCACCCCATGAATTCCACATCGACAATGAACGGACGCGAATTGTTTCTGCCATACGACGAACGATATCACCATACGACCTCACACCGAGTGACAACCCCGGGTTGATTCTATCTCAACCATTAATCCGTGGCGACAATTATAATGAATGGACGATCAATCTCCCTCAAGCACTCAAATCTCGGAAGAAATTTGGGTTCGTTGACGGCACAATTTCCCAACCCGATGACGGTTCTGTGGATTTTGAAGACTGGGATACAAACAATGCACTCATTGTTTCGTGGATTAAGAACACCCTTGAGCCACAACTTCGATCCGACGTCGTTCACCGTGAGTTCGCCACCGATCTGTGGGCGTACTTAAAACGCATATTTGGGAAGACAACCGCTCCTCGTCTTCTCAAAATCAGAAGCGAACTTGCCAACTGCCGACAACACGGAATGACCATTGAATATTTTGGAAAACTCACAAAGTTGTGGGATGACTTTGCAAACTTTCGATCTCTGAAAGTTTGTAAATGCGGGCGATGTTCTTGCGACATCGCAGCTATACTCGAACGAGAACGGAATGAAGATCGATTATATGAATTCCTCATTGTCTGGATG